GATCGATTTCCATCGGGACCGGTTCGTTGGCAGCCGGTCGGGTCGGAGCAGGCGTGGGCGCAGCTGGTGCTGCCTGAGGGCGGAATTGGGAGGGAGGCCGTGGAGTCGAGTGCACATAGGAGGCCTTACGCAGTTGGTCACGCAAGGCATTGGCCTCGATGTTGACACACCAGTTTTTGAAGGCACCATATGCCTTGGGCAGGGGAACACCGGTGTTGTAGAGGCGGCTTGCAATTTCGCTGCTGAGTCCGCGCTCCAGGAACTCGATGAGGATATTGTCCTGTTCCCCCTTCTTGTACTCGCCCTTGCTGTCGGTGGTGGTGACCACGTTGTACCCCGCGTCTGCAGCCAGCATTTCGAAGTCGGAGATGTAGTCCGCAAAGGACCGTCTGCCCTGGCGAAGGGCCATGAGTTGGGCGGCAGCGACTTGCTCTGCGTTAGAATCCCCAAAGGCCCTCTGAAGCTCCTCCAAGAAGCTTGTTGCGGTGACTCCCGCCTTTAGTCCTTGGAAGCCCTCGAAATTGTGCTGCTTCCAGTTCATCGCCCATCTTGAGGCGGTGCAGCTTGTGCCGCTCTCATTGCGGAGGTAGGACAGGACGAAGAGGATTTTTGTCTCGTCCAGTGAGAATTCTGACCGATAGGCACCGATGTAAGTGGTGCACGCATCCACAAAGCCCAGGTACTTGGACTTGTCGCCATCGAAGTAGGGAGGATTGGCGGCGAGGGTGATGCGGTGATGTCCTGACATGGTAGGAGCAGGTGCGGTAGGTGGGGGCGAGGGTGGTTGTTCGGAGGGTAACTCGCCAAGGTCGGGGAACTCGTCTTCAGGCGGCGGAAGGGCGAGGTAGGGGTTGGAGGGCCCGGGTTGGTTTTGATGCGCCAGATCGGGCGACGATGGTATGATGGGGGGAGGGGATGGACTCCCAGATGACAATGGGAATCGGTACGAAATGGTGGATTCGTGTGCTGTACAAGCACTCAAGGAAAGGTTCTTTTGCTAGCAAAAAGATCCCGGGCCTAGCTCTTCACGTGCCTGATGATCCCGAGGTGCGTTTTCCCGAAGGTCTCCGCAGCACTCCTTGTAGCTACCGTAAGGCTTGGGTCGGGCTCAACGTTACCCGTGGCCTGGTGCTGTTTGCTCGATATGAACCCTTCACTGCGATCGCAGAGAACGACTAGATGATTCGGTAAAAGGGTAAGTGGGGTGATAAGGGTGAAGAGGATATAGCGGGCGTAGCAGTGCGGGATGCAGGGTAAGAGGTATGAGGTAGGAGGGTATGAGGGGAGTCTTCGAATTATGTGACAATCAACCAAAAACAATAGTCGAAAAGAGAAGTGAATTCGAAGACTGGAGAATACAACCAAGTAGCTACAGTATTTATACCCAAATCCAGTCTGAGTCATATCTACAACTAATGAGTCATAGGGCTATGTACCGCATGGAGCACTGGTCATGGGTTGTAGTAGAACCTTCCGGAGCATATGTCGCGCAGCCTCGAATCGATAGAGATAACCCCTGGAACCCCTAGCCCGGATCGTCTGATGCCATGATCCGTGATAAGATAAGTCGTGCCAAGATAAGATAAGATCGTCGATGATAAGATGAAAAAGAGTCGAATTATGACAAGTCGTCATCTTCTTCGACATCTTCAGGGTCATAATCGTCCGAATCTGGCAAAAGCTCTGGCATCTCTTCGTCCTCGTGGTCCTCAACGTCGACAGCGCAGATGGATGGGACCGGACCTTGTCGGATGGTGCGAAGCACCCGGGCCGCGGTTCTGGCAGATCGACGTTCTTCGCGAAGTTCCTCCTGGCAGGTGGAGCAACCGGAAGGGCAACGGCTCATCTTTACCTCCTGGGTATCCCAATTGATCTCCGGGTTGTGCTTCCGGAGCCAGGAGTACCCTAGAATGAGCTGCTGCTTGCCTAAACGGGTGACAGCAAGCTGCACGCATTCGCTGTGGCCCTGGTAACGGAGAACCACATCAGCAACTTTGCGAATGGAACCAGCCTCGTTCGGCGTGCCGTCCACGTTGTAAACGGGGATAGGCTGGGTGAGGCAACGAATGGGGAGGCGATTTTCGAGGACGTAGGCCGAGTCGATGAAGTTGGATGTGGCACCGCAGTCAACCAGGCCTTTGAGAGATAACTTCACTGCGTTGTTGGTGGACTCGATCTCGAGGGGGAGGTGGAGAGAATTGGCCCCGGGAGAGGCGGCAGCAACATAGCAGGAAGGGAGCTTGCGTTCCCACTTCTCCTTACGGACTCGTGGGGTTAGAGGGGGAGCAGGGTGTATGTCTATCGCTTCAACTGTTGCAGAGTGGAGGGAATTGGATTCATCATACAAACAGGAGAAACGATTACGTGAAGCAAACGAGGGCGTACTACTCACTTGTCGCTGGGGAGAAAACCCTGCTCCACCTCAGCCGCGACATCGGCCGCGTGTTCTGCGACAGCTGCAGTAGTCGCTACCTGAGCGACCAACTCGGAGAGCAACTCACTTCCCAGCTGATTGATGACCTCGTCAAGGACATCAGCATGACGGATGTCAGCTGGGGTGGGGCAGTCACGGGCGAGATGTCCCGGACTGCCGCAGCGGAAGCAGGTACGGTGGACATCACCGCGGAGCCGGGCTGGGTCGACCTCCATGGGAACAGGGTGGGCAACAGGGGCCGGCGCCGGGCGGGTGGCAACAGCCGGTGCTACAGCAGGGAGCACCAGGGCACGAGGACGTTGGGCAATGGGAGGTGCCCGAGGGGGAGGGGCGGCATGCCCCCGAGATGCCTTGGCAGCAATTTCCGCATTGTATTGCCGGAAAGCACGGACACGCCATTCGGCGTAGTCGGTGAGGCTGGGAGGGTTGCCAGAGGTGGTGATGGCCTGGTTGATCTTCGGATCCAGCCCTGTCCTATATTTGGTCACCTTGACCAGGTTGTCGGTATAACCGGCAAGGTCAAGGAGGTCGTCATACTCGTCCGTGTACTTGAACACATCTCGCGAGCCCATATAATATAGATGGGTCTCCAGTCGCGCCAGGGCGTGGTCTTGCTCATTCTCCTCGACGAATCGGAGCTTGAACTTGGTGACAAAGAGAGTCCAAGTGGGGAAGGGGAACGGGGTGCGCTCGGACATGCGCTCGGACCAGGAAGCCGCAGAGTCCTTGGACATGTAGGACAGGGCAAAACGGACTACCTTTTCCTCCGAGACTACCCCGCTCTCGAAGAACGCTTCGGGAAGCAGCTGCCAGTACTGCTTCACGGAGTGCAAGAAGCTCTTGCCCAGGGTGCGATCCCCATCAAAGACGAAAGGGGGGTTTGGACGGATGAGAGGGCGCGCAGAGTTAGCGCCAGCAGAAACACCTGGACCCGCTGCCGGAGCTGGAGCAGGGGCAGGGGCAGGGGGCGGTTGTTGTTGTTGGGTGATGAGCCGGGTGAGCACGGCTTCGATATTCGTTATGCTGGTCTCCAGAGCGGACAGCCGCTGCTGGTCGTGGTCTTCCATGCTCATCGGGTCTGCTTGTGGAGGGGAGGAGGGGGCAAGATAGGAGGTGAGGGAGTGGTGGTCTTGGTCGCTCGTCGACTCTTCTCCACTGGCGTCAGCGTCGAACCTTGCAATCTTGTCCGGTTATCCCTAGAGAACACGGTTTCTGCTGTAAGGGCAACCTCGAGGCCCGGTGTCAGAGTCCTGGCAAGGGAGAATCCAAAGGTGATTAATAGTGGTAGCTAGGTACAAGACCGGCATACCTGGCAAGGGAGAATCCAAAGAGAAACCGTGTTGGGGATTCTCCTTGCCAGGCGCCACTATTTATATGGTACAAGAACAATAGACCGCGCAGCGACAAACAAAGGACAATGGGAACAATAAGTACAATGGCCATGACAGAACAATAGGAAACCGAGACAGTGGGAACGATGGGACACCTGACCATGTGCCCGTCAGAGAGAAGCGCTTGGCGTGGCAGTCCGGGCCGCGGCACGTGACAGCTGACAGGTCACGCGAGCGCGATCACATGCCTGATCGAAGGCAGAGCGGTCCGAAATGGGGGTTCCCCTGACACCGACGAAGGACTACCGCTCCCGACATCAAGGTTGGCAGCCGGGTCTGGCTCGACGCCTCAGACATCACGACGACGCGACCCTCTCGCGGCCTCTCCCACCGACGCCTGGGTCCCTTCAAAGTCACCCAAGTCGTGGGCCGGGGCGCATACAAACTCGCCCTCCCCACCAGCCTCTCTCGCCTCCACCCAGTCTTCCCTGTGGTCAAGCTCCAGTTGGCCGAAAACGACCCGTTCCCCACTCGTCCGCGTCACGAGGAACCACCCCCTGTCCTGGGACAAGGCAAAGGGGAGGAGTGGGAAGTGGAGGAGATCCTAGACGCAAAGATGCGCTACCGGAGTGTCTGGTTCCGAGTACGATGGAAGGGCTATGACCCGTCTCACGACCAGTGGGTCAAGCACTCAGACGTTTTTGCTGACGACGCAGTGGCAGCGTTCTACCGCAGATACCCGGGGAAGCCACGCGTTATTGCAGCAGCCGTATTCAACTCGCTACCCTTCAGGAACTCGTCGACCCCTAACCGTACCTTGCGTCGAGGCGCCGCAATCAAGAGGGGGGGTGATGTCAGGGGAACCCCTGCTTTCGTCCGATCATCATGGGATCTCGCATGTGACCAAGCACGTGCCATCTGTCAAGCGTCACATGCTTCGGTCCGGACTCCCCTGCCAAGCGCACCCACATGACACTCCGGCCCGGACCCCCATTGTTCCGACGGTCCGGCTCCCATTGTTCCCCCGATCCGGCCCCTCATTGTTCCCTGGCCCCATTGTCTGGCGCTTCCATTGTGCTTGGTCATCCATTGTTCTGTAGGCTATATATAGTGGGCCCTGACAAGGAGAGTCCCCAACTCGGTTTCTCTTTGGACTCTCCCTTGTCAGGTTTGCCAGTCTCCTGTATTAGTTGATCCCCTTATCTGACGCTTTGGACTCTCCCTTGTCAGGACTCTGAGATCGGGCCTCGAGGTTGCCCTTACAGGTGCAACTTGGTGTGATGTTTATGAGTGGACAGTAAAATCAAAGAAACTGATGTGCACAGGTTTCAGACTAGAGTGCTGCCTCCACTGGCAGAAACCTTTCTTGCTCTTGCATTTTTCCCACACATTGTATGTGACCCTGAAGGTGAACAGAGACATGGGAGCTGACTGATAACACTGTCATCTAGGGATGACCTCAGCATTGAGAATGCGTGACAGACATCAACGCAGGTGCAGACCGTGCTGAGTGTGTAAATTATTGGAGCTGCAGATTGGGAGGAAGTGTGTATTCAACAATTGTAACATAAGTAGGCAAAATGTAATTGAGAGTGCTCAAGCGTGTTCATTTAAGAACGTAGATGACAGGACGTTTCATACAGGTAAAGGAGCTTGTGGATATGTTTACATGCATATACAACAGATGATTCTGTTGATGATGAATGCTGATCACATCAGCAAGTGGTGCTCAGCATTATGATGTGCTTGTCTGATCAAGCAGACATAGGAAGTTTTCTGATTGTTTCACAGCCCTCAGTCTTACCACTGTCTGGTGTGACTGAGGGTACGTGGTCCTTATGTTTCATTTATGTCTAGATACTTACACGTCCTGTAGACTGACTGGGTCACTCATCTACAGGTATATACTGAGTCTTACCACTGTCTGGTGTGACTGAGGACTGACTGGGTCACTTGTCTACAGATTTGGGAGAATGGGCGAGGTTCGAACGAGAGACTGCACAATGACATGCGGAATGATACGGAGGATCGGATCAAACCTTGACAAGCAAGGCATTGCCTCGGGTGATTCGGCCTCACGGCATCTGTCGGCCGAAAGCCGGCGGCGCTAGACCCTGCTAGACCTTTCTAACTTTCTCCAGAATTTTCAACGACCGTCACAGGCCAAGTCAAGGAACACACCGCCTGCTTTCTCATGACACAAATATGACAGTATGAGACTTACCGTGACGTTCAGCCCTGTTCCAGCCAAAGATTCGCGCCGCCTGCCACTGCAAGTCAAGATCTGGGAGTCTGGCTGTCGATTCTCTAGTGTTTGGGCGTCTTGAGTCTATACATCTCCTCAGCGCTTAAAACTCAACCTTCGGAATGGACAGGAATTGTGGAACAACAAACGTGGACTACAGGAGGGCGAGGCTGTGGAACACGCTTCGTGCAATCCAGAGTTCAGGTGCCCAGATGGCAGGACCCAATTGGACTGGGGTACTTCCTCTCACACACCCCTGGAATAAGACCCGCCCAAAATCACACGTTCTCCGCATGCCGGCGATCTCATGCGGTTTCTACTGCGGCCGAGTCAGCCAGGGTTGCATCGCCTCAGCAAAGGGACGGGTGCCCGAACTGTGCCGGCGATTCGTCAGCGCGATTCGGCGGCTCCTGAAACGCCCTGAGCTGGGTTGTACGCGCGTCGCTGTTGTGCATGTAGCGGAATGGGGCAGGTTCGGGCTGTGACTCGTTTGGGGTATTCTATGATGACTCGGGATCAGCGGCTCGGAACCGAGAGTATAAAAGCAGACTGAAGCCCGGGCCATTGAGCGTCTTTCCGCTTCTCTCTATCTCTCTTTCGTGGTGCTCGCGAGAAATGTCTGAATCTGCATCTTCATCCGCCGAAGTCACAGGTGTGATTAAAGCCATACGCGAAGGGAGACTTCGCGTCATCAATATATCTCCTGGATCCTCCTTCCGGCCCAGGTAAGTCGTCGCATCTTGACTCCTGGCCTCTCAATAACGGTCTCAAGAATGGAAATCTTCGACGACCCGAGGTCAACGCATGTCGTGTTGACGTTTGAACTTCCCGGTGTCAAAACGTCCGACCTTTGCATCCGGGTAGAGCACGGAAATCTCGTCCTGCGGGGCCGGCGGCGGCCTCGCTTCCGGCAGCGCCGCACTCCGCGCAGTGCACCAGGCGAGGGCACCGAGAACAGCCCGAACATGGATGTTGACACCGACGCCCGCATCTTCCCAGCACAGGAACTCCGATATGGGAGATTCGGACGCGCAGTCAGCCTTCCGAAAGGCGTCGATGTGTGTTCCGTTGTCATCTGCTCGCAAAGACGGCTAAATAACTTCCTCACAAGGCTTCATGTCTCTACGCGGCTCTCCACGAGGGCCTCCTCACTATCATCTGGCCGCGATCCGCGCACTCGAGTGTCAAACAAGAAACACCGGCTGTGAAGCTAGAAACAGACGCCATGTCCCCCGGTGTAGCATCAGTAGCGCTCCCGACGTCAGCCGCTCGCACTGAGGATCCACGAGCAAGAAGCTCGCATCCCAGTACTCAGTCTGCTGGGAAGGCAGGTTCCAGTGCCGGCGCCACTCCCCACTAGCGTCCCGAACAGGAGATCTAAGCTGTATCTCTGTTATACATGCGGATGCCAAATGGATCTGACAGCCGCCGAGAGTCACTGCATGCCACATCTTGTTTTCTACCCCCGCTTTGTATACGTCTTCTCTGTTTTCGGGATTCCCTTCGATCGTGTTGTACATATATCACCCTACTCACCTCTATGAATACTATCTCTGTACGATCTGAATTCGTGGACTGGACTTCTCTGTATCACAATACTAGACTACGAATCACCTCTGCCCGATTCTATATCTGTGACAGGCGCACCCATTCCCGGACTTTGTACTCCTTTGTAATCTTCGCACAATACGCTGTTGAGTCAAGAAATGGTGATTCCACCTCCACGTTGATGTGATTCCCTCCCTCCGTCCTTGTGAATGCACAGCCTTGTATGTAATCTATTGCCGATCTCGATAGCCTTCTCGGATTAGATTTCAATCTCCGCATTGTCGTCAGCCCGATGCACAACTGCCTTTCTGGGATTCAAGGAGGCTTGCTGCGGAACCCAGGGTGCTGTTGAGGTCCACATCTGATATGAGTCATGGCCACAATCGATGTATGAGCTCAAACACACTGTCCTACAGCCTTGGCTCCGGTCACCTCTAGCATGGCTAGGGATCGCAGGTGGTCTTTTAGGGACTGATCTCAGATGGACCCACATCTTACCTGATTCGTTTCATCCCACAGGATGCCACCTACATTCGGTGAAATGCTGAGGGCGTGCTCACAAGTGAATCTACTATGAAAGTAAACCCAAATATAAAACACGTTCACACTCCTCGTAATCAGCTTCTCAGTGTGTGAAAGATGCGAGGGCTTCGGGGTGGACAGAGCACCAGTATCACAACTCTCAATAGACGCAGATCCAATAGTCGCGGAGACGAAGTCGACGACAAGAATTTATATATAGCAAACAATGGTATCTCAACCAATATCTTCTATACGAACACAACCAACACTAATCCAATCCACAAACAACAATATAACAAGTCAGAGCTTAATACGAAGTATTAAGATCCCTTGTAGCGACAGCGTCCAGATGGCGACGCAAAACCCAAATATCAAGTCGACGCACTGCCAACTGATACAACCAATATACTGAGTCGACGCACTGCCAACTAGTAAACCAAAATGTCAAGTCGACGCACTGCCAACTGACACAACCAAAAGTACTGAGTCGACGCACTGCCAACTAGTAGAACCAAAATGCCGCGTCGACGCACTGCCAACTAACAGCCAATATCCAATGTCCAAAACCCGAGCACAACTTGTCGACGCACTGCCAAGCAAGAAGTGTGGAACCAAAGTTCTCAAGTCGACGCACTGCCAACTGACCAAAACAACCCGAGCACAACTAGTCGACGCACTGCCAAGCTAGAGGTGTGGAACGATCTCAACAAAGCCCAAAGGCGACGACACTAAATGCCGCGACCAAACCAGATGCGGCGAATCCGACTTTCTGATGTCTCAAAACTCAAACTCAAATCACAGTAGCTACAAGTGCTCAGGGAGCAACTCGTCGCGACCGGGCAGGGGTAGCAGAACTTCTTAGGGTGGAACCACGCGGCACGCAAATTGTACAAAACAATCTGATATGAGAGTGATTCACAGTCCGGGGGAAAGCTTCCTAATACAAAGAGACGACGTGCTACTTATACTGTCTACGACGCTGCTTAGTAAAGTCCTGTACAACTGCATAGTAGCTACGCTATCTAAGATCGGTTGCCTTTTAGGGTAATTGAAAAGTTGAACGATCGGACAGGACCTGAGTGATCAGGACCCCGCCCTATTGTCCATATGATACTTTTGATGTGGGTCAACCCACCGCGTCATACTTTTGGAATACGACGTGCTGGATTGGTCAACGGGTATGTCTTGGCATGTGAGGCCAACGTGGGCGCCCCAAGAAGCCGTATGGCTCTAGGCACGCCGGTCGTCCCCCACATGGTTCGGTTCACGGATCTAGCCGTGCCGGTTTCTAGTGTGTTTGGGTATGGGCGCGACTCGCCGTGACACTTGGAAGTGTCACCGCGACGCGTCCACAATGTCCCGTGATCGAATGGATCCTGACATGTGACAAGTCGTCGTCGTGGCTCGATCTGAGGAAACGTCCAACTCAAAACCGGGAGTTGCCGCGACAAGATGGTTTAAGTCTCGTAACGCCAAGTCCTGTCCAGTAGTAGTTCTATTATTGAGAACGTCGCGCATTGCTCAGCCCTTCAGCCCAAGTTCCCATCTGCAGAGAATGACCCTTTTCGAGAAGTCGACGCAACGACAGATCCCTTCCTGGGGAATGGTCGCGGTCCAAGCGTTCGTCACTAATGGCCCTGAGCCTGGCGTAGACTCATAAGACCAGTTCCACAGTAGTGGCCTGACTGCCTTGCTATCGTCGACACTATCCACAGTCGTCGACTGGGCAGTAGACCCATAAGTCCTACTGAGCGCAACACTGTCACCCGCGACACGATACACCGAATGGTTCAAGAGTAAACTCTGTAAAAAGCGCAAAAATACGCCCTTACAGAGCTGGTGCAGAGCGCGTCTGGTAGCCAGCCTATCATCTCCCAGGAACACTAATTTTGACCTCCTGGTCAATCCCGCGACAGTCTCACTGCGTCAGGTCTAAGTCCAACAGTCGACGTCTCATTCATTTATTATTAAAGCCGCGGAGACATAGAGTTATGTTCCCACGTCTTATTCATTTGGTTGTTCGGTTCCTTCCGTGATCTGCCGCGATCAAACTTCTTCCGGCATGTTCACCATATAAATGCCCTTAATTTTCAGGGTCGAGAGTCTCCCTAGTACGAGACACTCTTGCTTTTCGACCACCATGTCCGCGCCCGACCAGAGCCCTCGCCCCCAAGACAACAACCGTGAGTGACGCCCAGGACGATTACCGCGACTTTTCAACCACGCTAACCGTCCATCAGCCGTCACCGAATCAGCTGTCCCGGGAGCAAACCCGCCTGCCATCGACTGGCGGCAGTTCATGCCGTCAGTCAATGTCTCTCCCATGGCTTGTCGATCCAACTCACCACCTGCCTAGCCCCGAGGCTTACAACCAGATGTTGCGGCAGATGGCCGTCGACGTCCGCCAGATCCAACAGGTGAGCTCCGTCTTAAGCCCGCTGGAGCGAATAGTCACGGCGATCAATGATTGCCGCGCCTGTTCGCTTTGGCCTTCTATTCTTTTCACTCACGTAAGGGCTAGCCGGCGTCTACGCCCTTGACCACCAACGCTCCAGTCGAGGAGTCGTCGCCGCCCAAGAAACGCAAGCGAGTCGTCGAACCCGTACGTGTACTCGGTTTCATTCGTTTCACTATGTTCTGATCGACTCCCAGGCGGCTTCAACCGAGCAAGTCGCCGCCCCTTCGTCGTCCCGGCCTGTCAAGCAGAAGGGGAAGGGTGACGGCTCCAAGCCGCAGGCCCCTGCCGCCGTCGCGGGCAGCAAGGTCGCCGTCGCCAAGAAGTCGAGCGAGAAGTCGCAGGGGAAGCGACCCAAGGCGACTCCTGTAAAGGAGCCCAAGGCGTCGTCCCACGCGCCTACTCGTAAGTGGCTCTTTCTTTTCATTCACCAGAGTCGCGGGTACTGACTTGTCGTAGCCGCTACCTCGGTCCCTGTTCCACAGGGGTCACCTCCCAAGCGCGTCCACAAGAAGACGCACGTAGGTGTGTGATCCTATGTCTTATTCATTGATCTTTAGACTAACCATTTGGTCCCTCCCAGCCCGCATCCAAGCACAGCCCGTGCAGCCCGAGTCCCTCAGCGATGAGGAAGCCGCCGCCGTCGCCGACACTGCGATGGATGTCGACGACGAGGGGGCCCAGGAGGGAGACGCGTCATCGGCCGACGAGCTGGCCCTTCAGGTAAGTGACCCAGTTCGTCGATCGCGATTCCTTCGTCTCATGGTTGGTTTGTTTTTGACAGGGGCCCAAGTCCAAGGGGAAAGCGCGATCGAAATTGAGTGCGTTCTTCCTCTTGCCCCCCTCTGTCGATTACTCATACTTTCGTAGCCCCGTCCGTCATCGTCATGGACGACACCTCCGAGAGCGGAGAGGAGACCGGCGACTTCGTCGTGACCAAGAAGCAGGTCAGCGAGACCCGCGTCAAGCCCAAGGTAAGCCGGCTCCTTTTTCCCAGACCACGCCCCTTAATCCAGCTTTTTAGCCAATCAAGAAGGTCGCGGACGGATCGTCCAAGTCGACCAAGTCCGTGCCTCCCCAACCGGTGCCAAAGGTGGAGGCCAGTCGCAAGGCGAGCGCCCCGCGAGCGACGACTACCCCGACCCCAGTGGCTAAGGTGAGACACTAATCTTGGGTTCCAGACGTCGACTAACTCAATTTTCTTTCTTTTCTAGGTTGCCCAGGCGGCTCCCGCCGCTACCAAGACTCCACGCAGTGAGTTGGGCAGGGTGGCCGCGACCCTTGGTCGCGAGCGGAGTGTCGCTGCGGCCAAGGCCGAGCTCAAGGCTCAGAAGGCAGAAAAGTCCGTTGCGGCGGCCAAGAAGAAATCTGACTCGGTGAGTCGCGACTTTTTCTTGTCGTCGACTTTTTACTGACTTGACTGTTTCTAGACTCCTGTGAAGGCGTCGGCCCCCACGCCCCGAGCTCCGTTCACTCCCGCCGCCTACGACACCGAGGCGCTCCTTTCGGTGGCACGTCAAGGGTTCGCGGGGAAGTTGGAGAGGGCCGGCGTCGAGGTGCCAACCGACTTCGTACGTTTCTTTATCTTTTTCTGCCATGCCTCGACGGCTGACTCCCTTTTTCATAGGAGGTCGCGCCAAGGCCCTGCGCGATGTGCGTGACGCGGCAGCGCGTCTGCTTCAAGAGCGTCGACGGGCGCCACGGCAATCGGTGCGCCCCGTGCGTGCTCTATAAACAGACTTGCACCAACGGCTACAAGCCCGCGGAGCAGCTGTATATGGGGCAACGCTTCGGGTACATCGCGCAGATGAGCGCGGACGGTAAGAGTCCACTCTTATCATTCATTTCTATTTTTGATCGTTTCTGACGACGTCTTCAGATCTCAACAAGTCCGCCAACCGTCTCGCCGACACCTTGGACGCGTACGGCGGGCTTCTTCGCACGGCCAACGAGATCCGCGTCCTGGCCATTGGCCAGTTCCGTGATTTCGTTGGTCAGCTGAAGGAGCACTTCGACGACGGCTCGGACGAACGCATCAAGGCGATGTTCGTCCACACCGCGACCGAGATCGACGCCGCCGAGATGGCCGACATCCGCAAGGGTGTTCGGATGATCTTGGCCCACGGGGACTTGTTGGATGGCGAGGCGAACGAGCGGTTCGCGGCACCCCCTGCCTTCTTCGATCCCTTTTTCTATCGCGAGATGGAAAAGATGGAGAAGCAGTTCCAGAGGGAGATCGAGAAGGCCCAGGAATTCGACAAGTCGGACCCCGCGACCGTCCAGGATCAAGCGTTCCAACCTGGCGAGGACCACGAGATCGACGTCGCGCACTTGGCGAGTAGTCGTACCCGTGCGCCTTCCTCGTCGCCCCAGCCTTCGCCATCGCCGCCTCCTGTTGCGTCGTCGTCCCAAGCCGTTTTACAGGTCTTGGCCTTTTCCGACAACTACAGCGAGACCTCGGCCGAGTCCACCAAGGCCGCTTCGGATGAAGACGCGGAGGGTGAAGAAGACGGGTCTGCCGGCAACGAGAACGCCGACGACGGGAAAGTCGACGACGAGAA